AATGACGACGATCTGGATGCACAAATGTTAGTTCAGATATCTGATGAAGATAGCAATTACATTAATCAAACAATAAACTTTTGGGCAGAATTTAATCAAAAATATAGTTTATAGAGTTGAAAATTGACGTTTAAATGGTCTATTATGTATATAGTATAGCAGATTTGTAGATCCAACCAAGGTGTTTCATTCCTCTAGTTTTTCTTTTAGATGTGACGGCCATGTTGGATTTATGCAGATGAAGCCTCCGTCCACCCAGGAAACCATTTATTTACATCTTGTCTGTACTGTACGATTCTGTTTAAAATTGTATTCTAGCATCTTAAACTTATTACATATGCCACATAGAAAAAAAGCCGGAAAGGGAGTTACATTAAATAATTATATTATCGCGGCCATATTGGATTTATGCTAATTTTCATCTACCAAATCTCCGACTCAAAACAGTACCATAGCATCATGAATTTTTAAAATACCTCATCTAGAATTAAAGATATGTCCAAATAGTTATATTTCCATGTTGTAAAAATGTGCAAAACGGCCATTTTGAATATATGCAAATTAGGTATATTTCGGAAGCCTAGTTTTTCCTAGACTTTTAGTATGTTAATCTAGATACCTTTACGAAAAGCACCGTGAGGAAATTATTTCTGTTGCAATTTGTGATGGGTTGGCCCCCCTTTTTTGCTAGAATGACTGGACTAAAATGCGCCTCTCACTGTAAGAGTCGACGAGCTTCTCCGTTATGTTACAACGTATCGCTACACTGTGCCAACAAGAAAACACGAAATAGCCTGTGGTGATTCGTTCTCACAGTGACTAGGTGGGCACGCGCAATTCAAATATCTGACAAACTTGCATAAAAGGAATGTCACTAGAAATCTGTGAAGTGATAGCACGTAGCATTAACCTATAATTTGGAATAAATGATTTTTGGTATGTGGAATAATTTAAATATGAATGTCAAACTATACACAATATACTGTAGAACTAAAGACACGTTTAGCAGAAGCTTGTTATTAAACACTGGAATCTAAATTAAGTAATTATCCTAAACATGGACGCTCGAATTGTTCTAGCTCATTAATGTGCACATCCCGTTCCCTGCACTGTTATGACATAATAACTTGCAGTGCATTCCCTGCATTTTCTAATTAACACACAAACTATAAAGATTCATAACAGGTGCGCTATGAGATATAAAATCTAGCGTACATGTTTTAAGAAAATAAATAAAACCATATGCTGAATTAACAAGACGTATTGGCCAATTAACACATATATGATAACAGTGTCAAGTCCCTTACTGATACTGTATATCAGAACGAAATCGCAGCAGGTGTAGTAAAAAGATATAATTTATCATGGATGTTTTAAACAAACATTTATTCAAGGTAAGCACGTAATTACGTGCCAATTACCGCATAGAAGATAACAGTGTTACAACACCTGTCTCGTATTACACGGTGATACATTCTTAGCACACTTTTAAAGAAGAACTAACGAGATGGGATGGGGGAGGGGTAAATGTGTTCACAGCATTTAATTTAATTATATTATATGAGACAATATATAATATATATCAATCGTGGAACCTTTCATTCTGTTCTTGTTATGTGAGTGCGACTAATTAAATTTAGATATCTGAAATATCTTGTCTACGTCACTGTAGATATCATGGTTGCAACTATTTTGACTTAAGTAATAGAGAAGGGTAACTATTTCACAAGTGTTCTTATATCACTGTTAATACTTCTTTTAACTGTTATACTGTTCACGATGTTTCAATTGTCTTTACATTTATATGGCGTTGAAGATAGTACACGAATAGCTACAAATATAAAGTGTAATACCCCACGCAAAGTGGTTTGTCCCAATACGTTTATGTCCCCCATGCAATATGGTTTGGCCCAAGACGACCAGTGTGGTATATTTGAGCCGTACATGAAGACAAGCTATATATTTCCAATCAGACAGACGTCAACAATTCTATGTGATACATCTTATTCAAGGTAGGCTCACTGACATTACTAAACTATTCAGACACACAGTGCTTTTACATTCGAGTATTATATATATATATAGCCATAAAGCCCATAATCATGTATGCACATAATTTTATCAATGTGAATACGGGCTTATATTACTACTCATTGTAGCAATGTTACAGGTATAGTAGAAATGTGTCATTATAGCAAGGCTAAATGTCTTTTATATTATTATATGCAAACATACTATACACCTACAAAATCGACAACAAGTATCCTGAAGATTTTCTATTTACTAAAAATGCGCCTGAATTTTGAAATGTTGTGACTTTGCCAATCAGTGTACAGAGTCAAGAAATTTGGTTTGGTGGTGGGGAATCTATAAAATTACTTTTGCCTACATACTTATTGTTAGACTGGTGGTATAATGGAGGGGGGGGGTATTGCTCGGTGGAAGCAGGCAATAATAATTTTATTGATAGTTATTAAATCATAATGGTTACAAAAAGTTCTGTTGTCATGGCCATTGTCCATATAACTGGGTTATAACAAATAATGTTACCATCCCTGAAACAATAATATGTGTGTATAATTTTGCATACAATAACAATATTTGGGAAACTATTTATAGTTACATGTATATTTATGTAGATGACATCGATATAAATAAGGGAATATGATCTTTAAGAAGTATTCATTGTCATTGATCACAAAAGACGCCCATCAAAAAATGATAAGATGTTTAATGTTATAAATTGATATCAGTGTTTTCACTGTATGTGTGGTTACACGTAATTGTACAGATATTGTGTATTATTAATGATTGTCCTTATTTAGTCTATTTAAAAATAAACGTTTTTAGGAACTAATGCAAGAAATCAACACTTAAAGTTATTAAAAAACATTTAATTAACGCAGCTATACATAGAACCTATTATATGACTAGAACAAACCCACCATACATACCATATACTAGTATGTTTTCTTCTTGTTTCAGATTACGTAATGAAGTTATTATTCCTAGCGGCTATTATAGCCACTGTAGCTGCTTACCATGGACCACCGGTTCCAAACCATCTTGACGTATTGGATAAAATCTCTGTTGTATGTCCATGGGATCCCACTCTCGCCTCTTATGACCCACTAAGTATGAACATAAATATTTAATAATAAAATAACTTTTTATTTTTCCAATTAAACTACAATAATATCCAAAATGGGCGGACTCTACTGTGTTACTCAATGAGTTCAGGTCGGAGTGAGTGTTCTTTGGTTACTGGGTGGTTTATTAAATATATAAAGGCGGGACTGAGGTTACATGATGTTGCCTGCCTTCAGATAGTTCCGCACATTTTAGTGACTCATGTTTTCTGATGGTTCTACGTGGGGGATTGGTAGTTCAAGTACAAAGGCCAGAGAGAAGGAGGTAGAAGTCTTCGTGGGGGATTGGTAGTTCAATTACAAAGGCCAGAGAGAAGGAGGTAGAAGTCTACGTGGGGGATTGGTAGTTCAAGTACAAAGGCCAGAGAGAAGGAGGTAGAAGTCTACGTGGGGGATTGGTAGTTCAAGTACAAAGGCCAGAGAGAAGGAGGTAGAAGTCTACGTGGGGGATTGGTAGTTCAAGTACAAAGGCCTGAGAGAAGGAGGTAGAAGTTCTCAGCAGGAGTTTTAACACCTAGACGACCTGACATAGGTCTGTCATGTACTGTCTGTATCAGTTCTTCCGAAGCGCTGGGACAGTAAAAACAAAGGGCTCATATTAAATTGTCTTCCCACTTTGTCCTTGGTAACACCTTCGTTCAACCACCTTATGAATCTGGCCATTATTGAGTGCATTCTGATAACAGTTAATGACAGCTGTGATCTCAAACAACCGTGCAAAAATGCAAACCTTAAAATTCTTCTGGACTTGAGATTTAGAGCAGGTGTGTGAAAGACAATGTTCCAATGTTATTCACCTAATTGACCTGTAATATTCAACATAAATTTAATAATATGTGGACACCTGTTGTTATTTACTGAGTTAATAAACAATTTCGACAGGTGTGGCAGACTGAACACAGTCAGTGTGTCAACAATATTGTGTTTCCTAAATTGTTTAAAGTAATGGTATTTTAAAACATTAGAAGTATATTCTTTTATCTTTCTTTCTTTTTAAATTGATCACCAATCTGTGTTTTAAACATTCTTTTTCTCATTTACAGTATATATGGCACAATACACAGCAATCTATATAGTGGGACATGGTCTTGATTACTTTCATGAAAACCATGAAGCACCAGGAGGATTATATAATACAGATTATCTATGGGATTTTGATCTTCCTAATGAGGTACTTATTCAGTTTTCATGAATTGTGCACAATAACCATATATCGTATCTAAAAATATCCGTGTACAAGTTTTGTACCACCTTGGACACTACTACAACAGTATACAGGTGTTTGTCGAATGCTAAGTTATCGCTTAAAAATGGACGTGTAATCAAACAATTGGACCAATGAGAAACCGTTGGTACGATGATGCGATATGCAAACGAATACACATTTGGTACCCTGTAACACTTGATCTTTCATTGCATCATGTGTAAAAACAAAATGGCTGTCTTACAGTAAATTGGCTTATTGTCCGGAGCCATATTCCAGAGAAGTATTGTCCTTTAATAATGGCAAAATATAATTAGTATACAGTATATAATGTGTATACACTGTGATATAATGCGGATATCGTGATATAATACGGATACACCGTGATATACCGCGGATATCGTGATATAATACGGATACACCGTGATATAATGCGAATATCGTGATATAATACGGTTACACCGTGATATAATGCGAATATCATGATATAATACGGATGCGCCGTGATATAATGCGGATATCGTGATATAATGCGGATATCGGGATATAATACGGATATCGTGATGTAATACGGATACGCCGTGATAAAATGCGGATATCGTGATATAATACAGATATCGTGATATAATACAGATACACCGTGATATAATACGGATATCGTTATATAATGCGGGTATCGTGATATAATACGGATACGCCGTGATATAATACGGATATCGTGATATAATGCGGATACGCCGTGATATAATGCGGATATCGTGATAGAAAACGGAAACGCCGTGATATAAAACGGAAACGCCGTGATATAATACGGATATCGTGATATAATGCGGATGTCGTGATATAATACGGATATTGTGATATAATACGGATATCGTGATATAAAACGGATACGTCGTGATATAATGCGGATATCGTGATATACCGCGGATCCACATAAATATAATTTTAATACGCTGTCATAATATACATATACATTTTGATCTAATGTGAATATATCATGATTTAATGCTGATACACCGTCATATAATATAAATTATGTAATGCTGACACACCGCAGATTATATTCGGCAGATGCGGACATATGGATATAATCTAGATACACCGTGACATAATGCTAATCAACATGTATATTGTCATATAATATACTACAGATTCATCAATATATATTGTAAATTCGCTGTATTTGGGTCTTCCCAGTCAGCGATAGTTGTTTTAGGTGTGTTGGAAATGGACCATTGTTTCATTGTCCTCCTGTTTTTACGTTAAATGTTCTCAGCGAGGGCCCGTTTGTTGTAGCATCTATCAAGCCTGTTCATTCATTCGTATTTTTCATCTGTGTTTTTAATG